TCTGATCTACAGTGGATCCTAAGGAAGTAAATGCCTTGACAGCTCAGTGCTCAGAACTGCAGGCTGAAAAAGTGTGGAGGACGGTAGCTTCCGAACTGGACATTCCAGAATAGAGATCAGATTCCTACATCTTTTCATACCCCACATTTTCATATATTCGATTTCCCGCCATTTTCTGACCCAGTCATTGCGCGGGGTTCAATTTAGTTTAACGAATCGTGACAAATATGCAGGCTATTAAAGTTGGTTATAAGCAGCACCTAAGCAGTTAAGTTTCACGTTATATTTCAGTTACTTAAAAAAACCTTGGAGTTTTCAAAACATGACCTGCTACTTTACAGGCATATACAATCAAATTGTGGACAGGTGGTATGTGGTGTAGAAATTGAAGCAATAGTCTTTCAAGAAGATGCAAGAATAGGTCTAATGCTCCTCATTTTGGTATTACTGAAACAACTTAATACGGCTATTAGTTACATATTCAATCATGCCAGCATAAAAAGCACAAAAAATAATAAGACTTCTTATAAACTGAGTGCCTATTGGCAAAAGTTAGACCCGAAAAAATTGATTGAACGGGCCACGTTTGATTCGACTGCAACATGTAGTGTAATGGCTAATGGAGTCTCTCAAAACAATATAGCTGTATTTTTGATGAAGATGAAGCAGCATAATTAAGTACTGCTTATATCTATGTTTATCCACTTACACATTTGATAAGCAAGGGAACATTAGAATTCTTTATTTAGTAATGAATGTCCGATATCAAAACTAACAGAGGGAAATGCTTGCCCACATGAGGTTATTTAGTGGCTAGTACAATAGTCTCTCAAGACAAAGTACCCGTAGAGTCGCATTCTTCTTACTTTGGTAAACTTAAACTAGCATAATGAAGTATTGCTTAGATGTCTATCTACCTTACAGCTTCAAAAACTGAGTAAGCATTGAAGTCTTCTATTCAGTAATGAATGTAGGAACCTAAAAACTAATGGGACAGATAACGCTCGCTCTACAAATGATAGGTAATAACTATCAGATAGTCTCTCAAGAGTGAATGATTTTAGGTTTGAGTTTTTCTTACATAAAATCAAAACCACATATATCGTTACTTATAGGCTCATCAACTCACAGTTTGACTCCAAAACCAAAAAACATTGAAAAGCTTTCTGGCAAAGCGAATGTTTGGTGACAAATCTTGGCGGCAAAAGAGGAGACAAGCAGCATCTGATTGCATACATTTTGTGGTGTAGCAAATAATGATAGTCTCTCAGATGGACAGTCAGAGCTTCGAATGCCTTCCTCTATAATCAGAATTGTTTATAACAATTGCTGTTTATATGTGTATTTCACCCTCCAGCACTGAGAGCTGGAGGAGAAGTAAGGATTTTCTTTGGTTAGAGCATTATGGACTTAGCGAGTACAAAACGGTAAAATGATAGATGTGTATGCACAGTGGAGATTGTGCTGTAGCAGTTATCTCCTCTTGAATCCTCTTAACTCTTACTTCTCGTCTTTTTTCCCATATTCTTTCTAAACTAGGGAAAACCTCAAATCAAGAATTCGATTAGGGGCACATATTAGTTTGTGCACCTTTGAGCATTGAGAGCGGGAACGGAATAGCTCCCTTTTTGAAAACAGCATTTTAATATCATACCCTAAAGATTGCAAGTACCTCTACAGCCATTTCGAAATGCATAGCGCTCGTAATTTGTAAATAAAAATTACCGCATTCCGTCGGTATATTTCATCATAGGAGCGAACGCGACGTACGCAGCGTACGCCGCGTATGCTCCTATGATGAAATATACCGAGCGTACGCTGCGTACGCCGCGTACGCCGCTTCCCCGCGAAGTCTGGCTCAACCCTTAGGCTGCGTTCATACTGATTCCCATGTTCTGGAACTGTTCCCGCACAGTTCTCGCACTGTGCTGAAACTGTGCGGGAACTGTGCGGAAACTGTGCGGGAACAGTTCCAGAACTGTGCTGCATGCGCTCTAGCCGCCCCGCACCGTTTTAAACGGCGGGAGTTGGAGAATTTTGACCGTTCTCAACGGTTTTTCTTCCAGATTTCGCTCATTTTGACCTTAATCCTCCACCCCGCTTCCCTTTTGATCAGCAGCACTGCGAACTCGAAGCGGGGTTGAAGAATGAGCGCTTTTCTGCGCCGTGTATTCGGAAAGATGGGCTATCGTGCGATTGTTCATCCATTCTTCTTGTTTTTTGTTCAAAACTACTTCATTTGTTCCAGGAAGCGGCTGCCCAGTTTCCATAGCCATCTGCCACGAATTAGGGAGTAAGAGAAATCCTGAAATTGCATGAGTTGGGACTTGTCTCTTGTTTTTCATGATATTGGGCGTTCTTAGCCTTGTTCGTTTTTCCATGTCGTTGCTTCTCCGTTCTTTCTTCTACCCCGCTTCTCCTAGTGATGAGAAAAGCTGTGAATTTGAAGCGGGTTGAGGATTGAACGCTGTTCTGCTCCATGTATCCGGGAATATGGGCCTTCGTGCGCTCGTCCATTCTCTCATCGCTATTTTTGTTCAGACCTATTTCTGTGTACTAATAAGTCGCTGCGTAGTCTCGCATCTTGAAATAGACAAGTCTCTAGAACATATGAAGTAGGTCTGAACAAAAATAGCGATGAGAGAATGGACGAGCCCACGAAGGCCCATATTCCCGGATACATGGAGCAGAACAGCGTTCAATTTTCAACCCCGCTTCAAATTCACAGCTTTTCTCATCACTAGGAGAAGCGGGGTAGAAGAAAGAACGGAGAAGCAACGACATGGAAAAATGAACAAGGCTAAGAACGCTCAAAATCGTGAAAAACAAGAAACAAGTCCCAACTCATGCAATTTCAGGATTTCTCCTACTCCCTAACTCGTGGCAGATGGCTATAGAAACTGGGCAGCCGCTTCCTGGAACAAATGAAGTAGTTTTGAGCAAAAAACAAGAAGACAGAATGAACAATTGCACGATAGCCCATCTTTCCGAATACACGGCGCAGAAAAGCGCTCATTCTTCAACCCCGCTTCGAGTTCGCAGTGCTGCTGATCAAAAGGGAAGCGGGGTGGAGGATTAAGGTCAAAATGAGCGAAATCTGGAAGAAAAACCGTTGAGGACGGTCAAAATTCTCCAACTCCCGCCGTTCAAAAAGGTGCGGGGCGGCTGCAGCGCATGCAGCACAGTTCTGGAACTGTTCCCGCACAGTTTCCGCACAGTTCTCGCACAGTTTCAGCACAGTGCGAGAACTGTGCGGGAACAGTTCCAGAACATGGGAATCAGTATGAACGCAGCCTTAGCTAGAACCTCCTCACCAGTTTCCATGCAAAAACCCGTATGCCCAGATTTGCCTGGACGCTGCCTTTAAGACCTCCTTCGCTGTCTCACATCCACCCTATCAAATGCGCTTTTACAGTATGTGTGATTACCCACTCTTTCGGATCCAGAACAATGCTTCACTTTTTATTCCAAACCAAAGTCTTATCAAAATATGGCGCAGCTTTTACCTTTTCTTGCAGTGTGGAGCCCAAATAACGAAGGTTTATCACATTTGTGGGTTCAAAAACTAAGGCCGTGGATTTCACAAAATTTTACTCATAGATGTTACTAGCAAGCTAAATTTCAAAGCAAGTATTGTTTTAACGCGATAGCCACTCAGTTTTTTTCAAAGCGTCAAATGTGCAAGGGAAATTAGAATGAAGTTCGCACAATGTAATAGACAACCCCATTAAGCAAAATTCTTGCAAGATTTGCTTTTAATATTTGGATCAACAAACTATGTATAGTACCAAGAAGGCTAACTATTAAAAAGCGTCACCCACTAAAAACTGCACCATTGATTGCGCCTCATGTGAGAAAAGTGATTATGTGCTAGCAAAAGTGTATGATCAACCCAAACTAATTTCAAAACGACTCAAACCCCTCTCGATTTTTTAAAGCTTCTTACGTCAACTTCAACAAACATTTTCCCTAACGTGCTGAGTGAATAATTACTAAGTTAGCCCCAAAAATTAGTATGAAGCGAAATGCAAAGGTCAGTTCTTATCATTTGGTGTACAGGTTCTGACTGCTGTCCATGTAGCAGCCATTTATGTTGAAGTTTGATCCTCAATGACATTAATTGCTTTGCTCATCATAGCACTAACCTCGAGCGATTTGCGATTTGATATGGTACATAATGCACATCATGCGCGCAAGATTAGAATTGTAAGATTAGAATTTACGCATTTCCGGTGAGATTTCTTCTTGCTTCCATGTCTCTAGTGGTTTCATCAAATATGTATTAGCTAGCAGTAACACATCTATAGTTAGTTTCGCTGAGAAGATTTCACTGCGAAATTACCAGTAAAAGTCGGCTGTCACGTAAAGTGTGCAGGTAGCCCGCATATCAAAGGCATTCACCAAAATTGTTGTAGTGCGGGTCTCCACGTACTTCGTCAGAAAACCCTAGTAGGCAAATGTCAAATCTACTCAATTAGTCTTCTCCTACCCTAGAAATTTTGATTACATTGACCCGTAAAAGGCGATTTGGCCTGCACAAGCCGAATTTGCACTTTCCTTTTCCGCGTCTCAACACGTCCTTCCAGACCACGCCCCATTACAGACACATCTAAATCTGCGGCGCATGGTAGAGTAGGAGAGCTCGTCCAATTCACCTCCGCAGCATTCGACACACCGGGTTTTCGAATATTTTTTGCGATTTCCGCTTAACTAAGCCTCCTCCAAGTCCCACTTGCGTTTGCCCAAAGAACAACAACACAATGTACCGTCTTGGCACGAAACAAAGTGGCAAAAATGACTGCTCTGTCCACACCGACTGTGGAGGTTTTCTTTTCGGAATGACGTGTCTATTAATTACACTCCACATTTCTCCGACGACTTACAAAAACATGTAATTCAGTAATTTATTAAGTAATTTAAGTAAGTTATAGTAAGTTTATTCAATCTGCATTTGCCCATATATTCAACCTTCACAATCTAGACTTACTAAATAATTTATTATGTCTCAGTAAAGGCATCACAGCTCAATGAAAAATGTAATACAACCTCTGCTAAACTCAGATAATGAGTGATAGAACAATGAGCAAGCAATCAAAATATTGTTGGAGATTGTGATAATTGTGCACATTGGACTGGCATCAAAGTAATGAAAAAAAGACACAATGTTATTCTAACACAAAGGTACTCTTTTTTCACAAAGAAAATCTGAAACTTTTTGGCACTATCACTTGATGACTGCTGCTGATAGGATAATAAATCATTTCCACCAGTCATCGATGGGAGTCATTCCAAGGTACTTTACATTGGGACGAACAAGCATCGCAAAGTCGTAATATCCGAAAGCAGCAGCGAACATTGGAAAAAACTGCCCTTTTGCTCGCAATCGAAGTGTCGCCGTTATTTTTTCACCACCTCTCACAGGACAATCACCGTGCATCGTCTTGTATTCCTAAGAAACGGAGACTATTTTGCATCGCAAATAGAAAGACCGTTTTTCACTGTCATTGTATTCTAAGAGTATAAATAGATACGTTAGTCTGGCCATAAGAGGAACTTTGGCCAAAATTGAATTTGAATAACCAGAAAACGCACAGAAAACGATCAGATAACGGGGAAGAGGACCATATGTCGCCAAAAGTGGGAGGGTTCTGCGCGGACAATGCAGCAAATACTCATTTTGTGCATGTATCGGAATGCGTATGCAGATGTCCGGCGAGACCTCCCACTTTCAGCGACATATATGTAGTCGCTCCCTCAGGAAACATGCTTGACCAAAGATTGATTTAAGCCTGTATTATTAGTGTTCGAAGTAATAACGCATCTTGCTTATCTGTGCATAGCTAGACATTAGATATTTGGAATGTGCGGTCTAATTCTTGAAAGCAAAAAAGAACAAAATCAAAATTACTATTGAGTATGGGTCTTCTGCTTTTTTCTGTGCTGTGATTCAAACTTTTCTGCATATCCATGACCGTATTTGTACAACGATAGACAAGTAAAACACTTTCAGCATGCTATAATCTCCAAAGCCATTCAAATTCACAAATTTAATCCCACGAAGCGGTACAGACATATACCTCAGACCAGGCATTTGCAGAGCTGGCAGCATTCCAACCTCATACTACTGAACCAATAAAACCGAAAGTTTTCATGTCTTTACTGTTGGCCCATTAAGTCATCCATCCTATGAGAATTGTGACAAAAAGTCTCTTTTATGTGCTCGAACTCTTTTTGCAATTATGCTATAGCCATGGATTTGAAGAGCGTAGCTTCAAATTCCTTTAGGGATAACTTGAGAAGGACAACAAGAGACGCAACATTCTTCTGCGGTCAAGCCTCTTTAAGCAACGAAGTGATATCAAATTCGTCTTCGAAAAATTAATTCATAGTTGTGAAACTTTATGCTGATGGAAAAAATTGTTACTATACATGTGCATCTTGTCTTCACCCGTCTTAAGCTTTCGTGACCAAGAAGAAAAAAGCAGGGGAACTACGAGACGTAGAATCAACAAAATGATATTCGCGATAAAAGCGAAAATTATGAAACATCAGACAAATAGTCTTAGTCAAAGCATGGTAATAATTCTTCAAATCGGTTTAGAGCATACAAAGCGATAACTCGACAATTTGAGATGTTTTATCTTCAGCTGTTGCTCATGCTTACGTATGTTCAGCACACATAGCTTTTAATTCATGACGTACCTTTCCTCCAAACTCATCCATGCTTGTCCACAACATCGCATCACCTGCTTCCATAATGTACTTGCGTGACATGGAGCTGAACAGGTACTCTGTAAAAATTGATGTTCTGAGAGATTTTACGAATCTTGTTTTGTTCTATGCACTGAAAAACAGAAATACAACCAAGAGTCTAGATGCACAGTACAACTGGGCTAGGGCTCGCTACCTGCTGGCTAGCGGCTGGTAATAGAGTTAGAAAAGGACAAGGCAAAAAAGGAAAAAATGAGGTATCTAGTTTTGGTTTGTACCCTTAGCCTAATGCACAGGAATCACTTAATTGATTTTACCATCACAGAACGGAAAGATTCTTCAGTTTTGAGCCATGGAAAAATAAGGTGGCGACAAGATAGCCCGTAGAATTATTGGAGTGATTACCATTTTATACTCGATTGGACTTACTCAAGCAGTCACTAATCTTCCGGGCTCGAAAAACCTCAATGATTTTGTTTTATGAAATTACTAGACTTTTACAAGTGAATTTAGAATTTTTCTGCTCGAGAATTTCTTTTTACAAATTGCGTGATGGTCGCGTATCTGTCATATATCAAACTACCTACGTAGATGACTAGGGATTTATAAGCAGAATGCCAAATTCAAACAAACCGCCACCCTCCATTGCTTTCTGGAGTGCGATAGTGAATGTAGCAAAGCGGTTCCCAAATTTGTACCTTAACTTGTCATCTTCGCTAAGTACGTTTATGTACTCATGACGCGGTGCTAGATGCGCACCTTCGTCGAAAACCAGCACCTATAGTAATGCTCTTATTAAGGTATTTGGGCAGCTCTAAACAGCTGCCTGCAGCTGATAAAGATTGTACCTGCCAAGGATCGCTGATTGTAAAGTCTATAAAAGGAATGTATCTTGAAATCTTCTCAAATGTCCGTGCAGCACCCAGCACTGCTCTGTGTTCAAATGTAAGCTCTGTAGCACGATGGAGAGCTTTTAGATTGCTTTTGATCTTTCTCTGCAAATTGTTGTTTAAGTGTACAACCTTTTCACAGCCGTTTATCATTTTGTTCATCAAAAGTAGAAATGTTGCATACATAATGAGTAAACATTGAACGTTACTTTGTAGTTTTTCGCTGCTAGCTGCTTATGCATTCAAATGTATAAACCACGAGTATCAAAAGTGGGAAGGGATTGACTTTGACAGTAGAACTACAGTCCATTATTGGAGTTCAGGTATTTATGTGAATACAGATCTTTTGGGATATTACTACATTATTAAATTACGGCCGCACTTCATGCTCGTCGCTTCTTTTTCTAGAATTGAAAAAGCAAAATAAAGTTCTGACAAGTCCTATCATTGTTGCTCGTATATAGTAAAAAAAATTTTTTCAATTGCAAGTGATAATTTCTACTTGGCCAATTCACCTGTTCATCTCTGATGTTCGCTATGAAAGCGTTAATGTCAGTCTTACGAATCAAATCGCGATATATAATAATAGGCGGATCGTCGTGTAGCAGCTCCATGTTAACCAGCTCGTAATTCCAGAAGTAAGAAAGACAGCCGTAATCTAAAATCAGTATGAGTATGAAGCCTACTATTTTTCTTACAAAAGTAGCACCAATATTGTGATGTGACCGTGCTGAAATCACTACCTTCCAGTTTTGTCAGCGGCTGCGCGCATTTTTGGAAATCTTGTTTGTACCATCCTTCGAACAGAGGATCAAGCTCCTTCTCTTTTGTTTCATTTGCGTATAATTTGTTGAATAGAAGAAAGTATAGCGTTAGCCAAATCATCACCAAATGTTGTGAAGAAAAATAAACTTTCCGATATCACTGTAAGGGTGATGGTAACTAATATATAAACCTTATAATTAGCTTTTGTATAATACTGAAAAGATATCTGAATGATTGCTGCTGCGTGCTGTATAGTCATCTGAAAGCTCATAACGGCAGAATTTATTCACTCGAAAATCCATAATCGATGAACCATTATATGCCATTGAATGTAAAAAAATGAATAAAAAAGCATGCTACTGCCATCATTTGAGTCATTCAGTCAAGCAAACAGGCGTACCATACGCAACAATCTTGTTTAGGGCAACGTTTAAACAGATTAGTTGCATTTTGAAAGCTAGAATGGTTGAGGTTTTACCTGAACTAAAGCAAATCGCCGAGTGTTTCCGAAAAAGGGCCGAAGGAGCTTGTTTAACCCTTTGCCCCGCAGAAGAAGCGAACGTGCCTTTAGGCGGCGTTTGCAGCGAGTTGGCATACGTTTTCGTTTGGTATCCATAAGCCGTGAATAGTCTCTTTCGTCTTGAATCAAAACAGCAGCACCTTGCCCAAATAGAACATAAGCGTTCCGAGAGTTTTCGTTCAATCACTTTAGAATTGGAAATAGGATTTGTGGGCCCAGGTACGACAAAAAATTCAAAGATGAGAATCTGACCGGATGTTAACTATATCCTTAGTATTGGTTCAGGTATTCTCTGCATTCATTCAGTTTATGGGCGTATCAAGATATTGCAAGGCAAGATGACTAGATAGAGCTGTATCTTGACTTTGCAGACCTGGCCCATGTGCACGCAAGACAATTCTGAGGAGATTCGATGAACAAACTATCTATTATTTGAGTACTACTAAATTGCGAGAGCAAATCGCTTTGCCGTATGGGCGGTAAAGGCAGTGTCCCGGCAGATTCGGGTCCTGGGGATATACGTGTGTTGGGGTTCCTGGTCACCCCATCGCCCTCCAGGCGCACTCCCGCTGGGTGATTTCCCCCTGGGCCGAGAAAATGGCCCTTGAACCGGCGCGCGCAACTTCATCTGGCGCGCGCTCGGACGGCCTTCCCCGCCTGTTCGGCGCGGGACCCCACGAGCGCTCTCCCCCATGATGCATGCTATCCAAAGCAAGAATTACAGGCGGCAGGATCTTCGTCTGAGGACCTCCCCCAACTTTCCATCAAAAATCTCGTCCAAGCTGCCTTTCTGGAATTTGGGGTGGAGGAACGAACGCCTCAATTTGGCACCGTCTCCGCGGACTACTGGTCCCAACACGATGTACAACAGTAGGACGAAAGGACCAGCAGCCCGCAGAAGCGGAGCCTATTGAGGCGTTCGTACCTCTACCCTGGAATTTGGAAAACGCCCCAAAATCGGCCTTTTCAGCCCGTTTAAAGCTCAAATTCAGATTCTACGTGGCGTTAAAGGCTTAAAACATGCAAAAAGGTGGAGGTGCAAAATCTGCCGGGACACTGCCTTTAAGAGGATATTGTCAAAGGAGATCAATATCCCAACCATTCGACAATGGAAACTCAATCTCATTCTCTCTGAACGCTTGCTTCAAGTTCAAATCTAAAGCAACCCAAACTCAAACGGTTTACTTAGTTAAAAAGCCAGCCAGCGACGTCGAAAACTTCATTAGGCACCCTCAAATAAATTGATTGGTTTTACAATATTGTCCTTGATGATAAGCACACATGAAGCCATAAAAACTTGGTGTAAGTTCATAAGTACTACTTCGGTTTACGAGGATTATCAAAGCTTTCTTGATCTCAATCTGAATAAAGTTTGCTAAAAAATAACTTCATTTTAAAAGGCAACGCTTAACATTTGCTCATGTTGTTCAAAGAGGTAAAAATTCATTTGCAGATAAAGCGTTTTCGATGTAATCAATTCGAACGGATCCGCTCATGATCGTAGTTTGTCAAAAACATTGCCATGCGCATTTTCTACACGTCGCAAAAAGTAGAAACTTTGGCAATGTGTTAATATAAGCTAATTGATAACTTAACTCAGAAACTACGCTTGGTTAAGTTGAAAGATATTCAAACAATATACTTAGGAAATTATTATTAATAAATATTATTATCAAAGATTATTCGAATGTTTTGTGTCATTGAATCTGCTTGTAAGAGACCAAAACATCTAAGAATAGATTGTTTTATGTAAGTATCAAAAATAGACACTTTTCATGTTACAATTTACGATGAAAAAACGGTGTATTGGTGACGTGAAGGGACTCAAAAACCTATAAGCGTACTTCTGTGCCGGTTGTGAAGAATTTTTCGAGCTTTGAAAAAGTTTACATATTCTTACTGAGGGTTGTGGATTATAGGAGTCCCAACAGTATGTAGATTTTTGGACTGCCTCAACTTAGACTTACAATATGGTTCAATCTACCGATTGTTTTTCATCGTTGTAAAAAAACGTAGGAAAACTGAAGAGGGTCTTGAGATAACAAGAGCCGTTTGCCCAAGAATGGGAATTAAAAACGCCGAAATCTTACATTGGACTTCTATGACACTCTACATAGTATATAGGATTTACACTCGTCCGTAATGCTTTTTTTACAACTTATGCCAGCTACACCGTAACAAATGTTTTTCAACGCTTTTCGAAAACGTGGTTACACATTTGAAAAGCTTGGTAACTCGTGTGAAGTAAAATCAGCATAAGTGAAAACTCTGCTACACAAATTTTAGATCTTTTATGTAAGGAAATTCTTTTAGATTTCTTGTTTCGCACTGGTTCTATATGCTGGAACTTCCTACCGGATGATACAACAGGAAAAACAGGGTGATTCCCTTTTTGCTGTATTTGTAAGCGAAGCCATCCCTACAGGATGTTATCCAAAGGTTGGCAAAAGACTTCGTGACAGGCATTAGCGATCAAATAGTGTGCAGACATTCTTAGGGTTTTCCGTTTACGTTGTGGATATCGAACATCCGAACATTCGATGCTTATCTAATTTTCAAATATTCGGTGTCTATCAAAGATTCGAACATTCGATGAACATCGATGATCAAATTGATGACCATCGAATACTCGCCTATCGAATATTATTCGAAAGTTGAGATTTCTAGATAATCGACTTTCGAATAATATTCGAAAATGAAGATTTTCGAATATTTGACTATCTAATATCATTCGAAATCTCAGATTTTCAAATATTCTAGTTTTCGAATCATTCGCATTTGAATGATTTATTCGAATAATAATCATTCGATTCTTTCCAAAGTCTAATAAACAGCTTGACTCTGAGTTAGATTTCGGGAAAGAATGCAAGAGCAGGCCAAAATTCTCTTAGCCTACAAGCCAAAAGAACCTACCGCTTACTCGACATCCTCACATGAGGACCTTTTATCTGCGAGGTGATTTTAGGATGTAAGATAGCGAGAGGCCATTCATGACAGTTGCTACAGTTAATCAATCTAACTTTCAAATCAAAAAAGTGAGAACTTCTCAAACCCCATTTAAGCTTTGGTTGACGGTTTCGCACCGCAGCAGTCTGCGCTGTTGTTTACACGGAACATACAGCATACTGCACCAAAATTGAAGAAATGATAGAATATGCTGAGGTGGTAGCGATCACGGTAGAAGATTCTTTGAGTCAAAATCCTCTGTTATCACAGGAAGAATGCGGCAGAAGTTTATCGCACAAATCCTCTCACTTACATCACAAACTCTTTATTGATGCTTAATCAACAAATAACAACACATCTCATCATACAACAACGTCATATTTAAAAAATCTTTGCGAAAGCGAAGGTAAGAGGAAAAAGGAACCTACCGGTAATATTTGTGGGAAAGCACACTAACAAAAACATTACAAAAGCAAGCCTTCTAGAAAAACGGATTCTTCTTCTTCTTTGCTGCCTCTTGCTGCGCGAACTGTTGCGCAAAGGATTCCATCATCATTTGCTGATAGATGTAGAAGTCGTAGATGGGACTTTTGAAGTACCATTTCATATTGGGAGTTACAAGTTTTTCGATATCAAAAGCGAATAGTCCCTCTTCTTGAGGATGCGAGTAAAAAAGCTCTTGACCTCTAGGACGCAGCCATAGAGTAGCCGTAATTTTTTCTCCTTTCTGGACTGGACATTCAGCGTGAGCGGCTCCAGGTGCCTGCAATTAAAAAATTGGCTTGTTCGAGAAAAAATCTCTAAGGCCTTTTTCCAGAGCTCATAATTGGTTGAGCTCAAATAGTTGTGCGACAACCGAATTCTACAATTGTAGTCCATATTCTGAAAACTTTGTTAGTTTTAAGTTGAAGTAATCCACTTTCCAAAAATGCACTCGATTTTTTAAAGCAAAGTTTAGTGCTAACAGATGGCTTGTCTATGACGCATGAATAAATCAGGATAAGTTTACTTCCAAAGATTAAAAAACAAAGATTAGAAAACCTCTTCTAGTTTATCGATTAAGTCGCTGCTCTAACGCACGTACTTAAAATGATGACCTATCAGATTGTGCATGAAATGCTCTAAAGTGTATATGGAAGTTCGCTCTGCTGGAAAATTCAACAGGAAAGAAATCAAAAACATTACCGGTCTCATATTCTTGTCGATATTCGTGAAAAGCAGCGCATCACCAGCTTCCAAAGTCACGGTGTGATTAGAGAGCACAAATACGGTCTCTGCAACATACAGGAAGAATTTGGGAGGCAACTGCTAGTAGAAAAAAATAAGTAACCTTCAGTACCAGTGCAACTTACTGTGAGTGGCTTGAATAACAGGGAGTATATTTTTGTTATCGCAACGGTCCGCTACTACGGAAAATGTGGTTGTAAATTGTGCAGGTATAGAGTGATATCCTATTTAAAAATGCCTACCCTTATAGCGAACAATAGAAGTAATGCACTCTAGTACCTTTCCGCTATGTAATTCACAGCTTCCAAAACTCGTTGAAGATCGTTGCAGGAGTGGTATAAAAAAAGTACCTTAATTTCCAGAGTATAAGGCGCACCTGCCGCGTGCGAAAGCGCGGAAAGCGTAGAAAGCGTAGAAAAAAGCGTGGAAACCACCAGGGGAGGAAGAAGAAAGGGACGCGGCTTGAACTGATTGCTGAATGGGTACTTCAAAGTTTCCAAGAAGTCAGTGTCGATTCTATCTTAAATGGATTCAAAAAAAACTTTAAAAAACTTAAATGATCTCAATGATAGCTTTAACTCAATGAATTTCGAAGGTAGTAACAGTACGGGTGTTTGAGTCTTTGCTTTTTGTTTTTTCACGAAAATGTGCCTTATACTCTGGAAATTAGGGTAAATCTTTTCTTTTCGTTTAAGCGTGAAACTGTAACTAAAATATATCACAGGAATTCTAAGCAATTTGCAATTTCAGGTTCATTTTGATGTCATGATGAACTTTTTGGGAATTTTTAGAAAGTTTTTTGAACTTAACATAGATATTTATTTCCGGCAGATTCAATTTAGAAGAACAAAAGGCAAGTCCGAGAACACCGATGCTAAAATTGACAGCTTGTCGACAATATTCAGATGCTCCTACAGTGTACGCTAGGCTTCATTTTGCAAGAAAAGGCGAAACTTCATGTATTGTACCGTCCCCATGTATTTGGCCAGTCCTTTTTGAAAATTTCAACTTTACACTTGTGAAGGAGCTTTGATAACTTAAAGGCAGCTGCTCGGCAAATTTTGCATCTCCATCTTTTTGCATGTTTTGGGCCTTCTCGACCCGTAGATCCCGAATCTGAGCTTTAAAAGCGGTGAAAAGGCCTTTTTCGGGGCGTTTTTTTCAATTTTCAACAGGCAGCTCGGACGAGAATTTTCAGGAAAGTCGGGAGGCCCTGGCACGAAGACCCTGCTGCCTGTAATTTTGGCTTTGTATAGCATGCACAATGCGGGAAAGCGGTTGAAGGGTCCCGCGCCGTCTAGCGGAGAATACTCGTCCGAACAAGATGTTAGGGGAGCGAAAGGAGGAAGGGGAGGGCGCTTGGGCCGCCCCCCTGGCTTGCAGAGTTCACATTTTCGGCGCGGAGTTGCTGTTTTGGTTCACTTGGAGGCCTCCTATCTATCTGTGTCAAAATCTAAGGTAGGTCAATGTGCCGAGCCGCTGCCTTTAAGGGCAAACACTTTATAACGTGGTACTCATTTAGTACTGTCTCAGTGTATCGCAGCTGTTTTGAATTTAGGGGAGTGTTTTTATTAGATACCGAAAAATCGCATAAGATTTCAATAAATACTCAAATGATTCTAAAATTTGAAGGATCTGAAACTTGTTCTACTAGAACTGAGTTAAATCACCACCGCTGAAAAATGTAAATTTTCTGAAATTGCCGTTACGACCGAACGCGCTGCTAAAATGAAAAAATTCTCGATTTCTGCCAATTTTGCATATACAGTGTGTCCCAAAAAAATGTGCCTACTGTTTGATTGTAAATAACTCTCTTGTAATGAAGAATTTCGAGAAGCTTTAGGTACCGTTTTGTAGAGCGAGGTTAAACTTAGATTTACAGTATGGAACGAATCATCTACCGCCCTTCATTATTGTAGAAATACGGTACGAAGTTCGACGAGGATTTTAGGCCTTTGGAGACTATATTCTGCCTCGGAACAGAACCAAACAAGCCAAAAACTCTCATACTACGGTAATTGGAGCCGCTGATTTCGAATTTGAAATTCCCATTTTCCTATGATGCTTCTTTCCAAAGTTATCCCTGGTAGACCGTAATAATTGAACTCCCAGTACTTGTCAGAAATGTGATTACACCGTCAGAAAACTGAAAACGCTCGTAGAAAGTCATTAGGTGGAATCAGCATGCGCGAAAACCCTAATACACGATTTTTCAGATTTTTTGAAAAAATTTTGTTAGGTGGTGTATTTCACAATGGTTCCATATGCTAAAAGTTCTTACCGTAATCCTACAGTAGTGAGGGGCAGTAGATGATTCGTTCCATACTGTAAATCTAAGTTTAACCTCGCTCTACAAAACGGTACTTAAAGCTTTTTGAAAAACTTCCTTACAAGAGAGTTATTTACAATCAAACAGTAGGCACATTTTTTTGGGACACCCTGTATAACAAGGAATTAAAAAGGTTGAAGAAGGTTAGAGGGCTGCATCGACTGGTTCCTGGATTTTACGAAATTTCGGGTTTTAGAGGTTTGGTTGGGCCGGATAAAATTACTTACTCAAAAAACTGAATTGTAGAAACCTTAAAAGTCTAGCTGGTGGACACAAGAACATGTTATAATGCGATATGCAATTTACGAAATATTAAAAAGCCCGTCCAGAAAATTATTTTCAGTGTACAGCCATTTAGAAGATTAGATGTTCTAAAGCGTCCATAACTTCTAGAACCCAGAGAGTTCAAAAAACAATACGAATTTCGAATCGACCTAATATTCATTCTGGAACTTAAACAGCATGAAAACCAGCTGAGCGAGAACCAAAAAAGTGTATTTCAGCAAATGCCAGGACAGAACTAATTTTAGAACTAATTTTCTGGCATGTACAGTCAAATGGATTTCATTTCCCGATAGATATAGTACGCCTGCAGAAGCAGAAGCACTTTGGTAGTAAACCTGTCGAAACTTAGAGTTACAACTCGGAGTTATCTCTGGGTAACAAGCACTTTTTGAGCCCCTAACAGGTGCTTGAACAGACCAAATTTAGAAAGCGATGATATGACACTCCATAACCGGTAGTTTATTCCTAGTAGCGCAACATTGTCCAAATTATTCTACACATGAAACAGCCCCACCAAACACGCAGTTGAGCTCTGTATAACTCTGAGTTTGGTGCGAGTTCCAGTCTATCGTAGAACTCAGAGATAACTCTGAGTGTGGTCAAAGAAAGAGGAATAGTGCCCAAAGGAAGATGTGCGGCTAAAAAGTCGAGTACATTTTGCTCGTAGCTTCAGCAGGCATGATGGGGGTATCGTGGTGCGCTATGATTTACAAAATTTTGAGAAATTCTAAAATTTTGGCCCAGGGTCACGAATATGGTACTCATTTCTCACCGTGGGTTCGTATAGCCAGCCTACGGCTGGTTTACGGTGAGAAAATCACAAAAATGGCCAAAATTAAGGCCGGTGGGGTTATTCGGGACGTTGGTCACGAATTTTACTTGCGATTTATACTGCGGTGACATCTGACAAGGTTAAGGTAGGTTTACGGTAGATGGAAGAAAATCACGAAACTGATCGAAACTTGGTGCACTGGGGTTATTCGGGGAGCTGGTCGCAGATATGGCATGCATTTCAGACTGCATACGGTAGAGGTACGGTAGAACTGTGAAAACCACAAAACTGATCGAAACCTCGACCGTTGGAGTTATTAAGAAGCGCTGATCACGGACAGTCTGTATGCTCCGTACACTGGTGTCATGTCGAGCGATGACGGTGGGTATGCTGTAAGTGGGTCAAGTCATAGAATAAGGGCAAACATTGCCCGGAGAGTTTAGTCTGCGCGCAGACTACAATAGTCTTTTCTTACCATTGCATATGCCATCCGCTTTCTCTATTGTTTGAAGCTTTCAGCTGCGCAAAAGATCAATCCCTGCGATAAACCACCATTTCTCGACAGAAATGAAAATGAGTGAGGCTTCGATATGATATGTTCTGACTTGCTTTGCGTTTACAAAGAGTACATTATGACAAAACAACGTTGAGTTCAAAGGGTGTATTTATGGCCTAGCGGTTTAGTGATGGGATCATTACGCTAGGCCATACAGGTTCAAGTCCCAACTTTAATGTCGCTTTTGTAGCAAAGTACGTAACAGCTCCTCAAACAGCAAAACTCCGAGCTTGAGAGGTGGAACTCGGAACTTTGAGAGCGGAACTCAGAGTTTTAATAGGCATAACACTCTGAGTTTCAAAAACGGAACTCAGAGTTATCTCAGAGTTAACGCGGAGCTTCAAAATCGGATTCGACCAGATTACTATCGACCCAGGTAATTCCAGTGTTTTCTCTGCTTATACTTCATTTTTAAGTATGCCTTAATCGATTGATATAAGAGTAGAAGGTAAGCTAGAAGACAGCTTCTGTTGTTTTCACTGGCCTTGTAGTCATTTGCGTTTAGTGGCCTTATTCAGCAACGAACCTAGGAGTTCCGTTACTCAGTGAGAAGGCTTAACCCAAGAGATCGATATTCACGAAACTAGTGGGTTAGCGACCCCGCAGTGTTTTTTGCGAATATTAATCCAACCCAATGTTTTCGCCTATCCAACCCATTAGGTTCGTTGACAAATACGGCCACAGGTGCAACTTGAGTATTTGATAAAAACCTAATAGCGTGGTAAAGAAACGTTTTCAGGTAAAAGAAAAGGTAAAGGAGACCGCGAAGTACATCCGAACTCCAGTGACGATATGACTATTAAAAACAATGAAAGCTGTTTTCCAACTTACCTTTTTCTCCTAGTCGACTGAATCATACCTGATGATGAATGAGCAAAGAAACCGCTGAATTGCAAATTCTCGTCTGCGGCAAATGTTTACGCCAAGTGCTGCTGCTTCTGTAGGTTCATTGCATTTGCCGGGAAAACTACTCGACCTTGGACTACAAACAAACATTTAGACACTCAAAATTGCTGCAATCTTCGCAGTAACGGCCTTACGCGCAAGATGCGCAAGGTATAATTTTAAGCTAAATTTCCAGAAAGTTCCCTCATCAAGTAAATGGCATTCATACTGGCATCTTACCTCCACCTATATCGGCAGCCTTTAATGTGATGGCAAACGTGACGAATCTATTGCCTTCTTTGCGTGTGACTCGGCTGTACTGATCCGGTGACGAATACGTTATGTAATCATAGTGTGGTGCATGATGACCACCCTCTTTGTATGAGAGCACCTGCCAAAGTGTAGATTTGGGATAATGAGCTGTATTATAACCTCTAGATTCAATTAAAGGCAACGTCCAGGCAAATCTGGACCTATGGGGCTCTTATGTGGAAAGTAATCTTGAGGCCCTATATAAGACTCTGCCCAAGCGGCAGTTCAGATAGTGCACTCGCGGCTAAGATATTGGGCTCCAAACTATGCCCCGTGATCGTATTCGCATGGATTCATGGCTCGGCACATCAGTTTCGCGTGGATCCTCGCGCGAAAGAGCCACGAATCCATGCGAATACGGTCACGAGGCATAGTTTGGAGCCCAATATCTTAGCCGCGAATGCACTTTCAGGGCCTCAAGGTTACTTTCCATGAGAGAGCCCTATAGATCCAGATTTGCCTGGACGCTGCCTTTAACATGAAATGTGACTGAACTATTGCGCGTGTATAGAATCGCAGGCTAGCGCTCATCAGCATTTTTCTTTCACATGAATGTTAGCGCAAAAATTAGATTAGTCAAGTTTACTGAAGTAATCTGATATCAAGACATGAAACTTTAGAATAAGCCAACCTGCCAAGGTCCCGATAACTCAAAGTTTAACATGGGGATTAGCGACTGAATCCGATTGAAAACTCTTGCAACGCCTTTCCTTGCTTTATGCACTATAATTGTTTCGTTTGCTACTCTTCGGGATGTCATGTATTTGGCGATGAAGTCCTCTTCTTGCTTCTTCTAAAAGAGCACTCGTCATTTTCATTCACGATACATGATTGATTCTGTTTGTTGAGATATAGTGAAGGTAAAAAGCTCACCTCTGCTTTTCTCTTTTGCTTGTATTCTACGTCCAACAAGAACTCGTCGATGAACTCTTTAGGTATGAGCCGTCGGTATATCATAATGATGGGATTCGTATCTACTGGATCAAGATAGACCACCTCGTAATTGCGAAAGTACTTGTAGCACAAGTAATCTGAAAAAAGTATTGTTAAGAAAAAAAGGAGAAATTGCCGTCGGTTTGTCCTGTACATGCACATTTAAAGAAAATTCAATTTGTCGACGAAGCAGAAAATTCTGTTCATGCTTTTTGCAAAAATTTTAAAAATAATTTTTGATTTCTCGTAGAAAAATCTCTCAGCGCTCTCCTCTTTCCCCCACAGCAGATGTTTTGATCATAAATCGTTGAGTTTTCTTTTGAAGTTTCCACCAACAGATTTAGAGTTACCCAAACAGTAACTGAACAATCTATAGAAGCTGTATTCTTATGCTTTTGACAACATTACTCACCCTCTTTGAGTGGGTCTGGTTCAAAGCATTTCTTCAATGACTTATCGCCCCATTCACTTCTTCCATCAAAAGCGAAATGTGGGTTTTTCTTTGTTTTCTTCTTCGAGCCTTCCTCCTTTTTTACAGATTTTTTCTTTATGTCTTCTTTCAGTTCTGTGGCTTTTTCTTTAGTATCGTCTTTCTTCTTCGCAACCTTCTCTTTGACAGCTTCTTTCTTCTTCGTAGCTTCCTGCTTCGTGCCTTCTTTCTTCTTTGTGGCTTTGTCCTTCTTGCTTTCGATGGCGATTAACAATAGTAGTAAGAGAAATATGATGAGAAACTTCATTTTCTGAAATGCCCATTCAATGATATGATGATAAAAAAATTGTTATTAACGCATTCTTCATGAATGTCTTTTGAAAGTGGGAAGTAGCACAAGGAAGTCAGAAAAATTATTGAGCAATCAGGTGATTTCATTTGTGCAATCCCTTCGTGATGCCTGTGCAAATAATTTTGTGAGTGCACCTTGCAGAAGAGATGCAAAGCAGCTATTGTGGGAAGCCATAGCTTATGGGAAAGACTATGACAGCAATCGATGCTCTATTTATAGTCAAGAATGATGAATCATTTATGTGGATGATTTGAAGACTCTGAATAACACATTGAGAATTATTCAAATTACCGCAATTCCACAAAGATTGTCTTGTGTTACTAAGGTTTGATCAGCATTAAATGAAGCTTTGAAAGACACATTGAGGTTGTTCCAGTTTTTTCTTTTCTTTTCTGGTCCAGTTATATGCACTCTTATAATTCGACAAAGTGATATCGCACGCATTTTGATGCTTACGAACAGTTTAGCATTTGATAAAACGTATCGAATATTGATGGAAGTTTTATTTCGAATGTAGCTGCTTTTGCTTTTTACTTTGCTAACTTAAGTTTGCAGGGGAAAACTATGTCGCCACTAGTGATTGATCTTTACTAATTGTACTTCCAATAAGATGGGTGAGTAGGTCTTGTCGAAAAGTGTAAGTTTTGTCAGCGAAGCGAAAATAAAAAAGAATGAAGGATTGTAATGTGGCATGCGGCATTCAATAGGATCGAATTATTTAGTCATATATGACATGTGCATGCCGTTTTTTGCGCTTCAAACAACAATGAAGCGCAGTGCTCTACACAATGCTCATACTATCAATCTAAACAATGCGAGTGAAACGCGAATTTTGGAAACGACGGGAATTTTTCACGGAAACGGTTACCGACAGAATAGGCTTTGCCGTTAGTATTGATTTAGTGAAGGATAACGAATGCTTCTTTTGGAATTGAACGGCAAACATGTAAGTCCGAAATATATGCGTTACAAGATATAATGCTTAAATAAATTACGCCGGTTTATTTTGAAAATTGAATTTTTCAAGTGGTTTTGATTTGGTAGTCTCATATCGGACTAAGCAACTTGCAGACTTCGAAATCAGATCTGCACTCGGTATCTCGTAGTCGCGTAAAAATGAGAAATCCTACCTCAGACCATGACTCTCGCACCAGGCGTCAATGTTAAGATGATCGCCTTTCGTAGGGCGCTATTAATCAATCTCCCACTGCTGTTATTGTTAGCCAGAGCCCGGACGGGCGAGAGCGTCAATCCCATGATTCATCATTTAGAGTGTGGTCCGATCTGGCAAGTTTGGCCACTCGGGCACGGCTTCGGATCGCACGGCCCGATCTAGACAGATCGGGCTCCACTGCCCGACTGCCGTGCTCGTCATGGCCAGACTTGCCAAATCGGACCATATTTTCTAATACACAGGAGCCCGACCACCAGCTTGGCTTCGTGCATCCCGGCGCCAGTGCGTACGCCTGTACGGGCTATTACCTGTACAAGGACCCCCTCCTATGTAGGAGATTGATAAATACCCCCACCCCTGGATGATGAGTCCAGAGATGTGCAAAACATTGCCCAAACAATAGTCGTAGTAAAAAACTTTGGCTAATTTCTTTCCGAAAGAAAAGACTTTGAAGTCATAAAAAATGGAGCACTTTGGAGTGATTTAAAAGGGCATTTCAAAACATCTTAAGAAACTTTTAGCCTGTTGGCGCTTTGAACATGACATGCCTGCGGCCCTTTTGATATCCGTAGTGGATTTCTGTATAATCACCATAGCTGAGCTCTCCTGCCCCATTTTGACCAAGATAATGCATAAACAGGCCAACCTCTAAATAGCACTTTTCCTTTTCTTATTTCAGCCAGCCTGGACATGTCTTGCAGACAATTTTTGGCCACAAATCTTGCAACTTCAAAGACATGTATGCAGGAAATTAGAGCAGTTCAAGATCTCTTCAAATGCCGAGAAGCTTTTACACTTAATAATACCACGTAGAAGCTAAGAGCGTGCAAACTTCTGTAAAGCAGTAAGCCATAAACTAGCAATGTTCAATACGACCATTCATAGAATGATGCTTTTAGCTATGGGTTTTTTCATTTGTTGCTTGTAGAACTATTTTTAGGGACGTTGTCGGGGGAGAGACTACTATTTCCTTTCTTTTCTTGGTAACGGGCTACATGGTACTCAGCTTCTCCATCGAAATCATTTATAAGCGATTTTACTATTATAAAGAAAAAACAGTTTTATATGTGTTTATCTCCGTTTCCTCCCTTTCCTTAGACGGAGTTTTGAGATCTAGACCCTCTCCGGGACTCTTCAGTAAGGTGTTGAGAGCAAACGCTTTATAGGACTAACGCATGAACAATTCGTTTGCATGTAAGTTACTATAGAGGTTGGAAAAAATTATTCACTTTACTGAGAACTAGCTGGCTTACCCGGCTCCACTCGGCCCTGTCAAAATACTATGATAAAGCTCTCATCCCTATCCCAGCACAACCTTTCCCTGTGCCCACGCCTACATGCCAATTAACCATTCCCGCTGTTTTAGCAATCAGCATGCTCGATTACCCCCCTGTGCCAACTCCCAGCCCCGTAGCTCAAACTTTGCAAAAAAATCGATAAAATCTATAAAACTATTGGGTGAATTCAAAGACTAATATTGTATTCGTAATCAGCATGCTCGATTACCCCCCTGTGCCAACTCCCAGCCCCATAGCTCAAACTTTGCAAAAAAATCGATAAAATCGATAAAAGTAATCGATAATCCCAAAAACTAATACTGCATTCGTATTCAGCATGCTCGATTACCCCCCTGTGCCAACTCCCAGGCCCGTAGCTCAAACTTTGCGGAAAATTGACAAAATCGATATCGATCGATAACGAAAAGTGGCCTATGACACCCGCCGGGGCCCGAAGTGTATGTGTGCAAAGCTTGGTCCGCATCGGTTCAGAAATGGAATTTTCTATTCGGAACATACGTACAGACAGACAAACAAACTTCAGCTTTATAAATAAGATTCTCTTTCACTCGTTTCTTAATGTCAACATAGCTAAAAATCAACGAAGATATTGAACAAGACCTAGCTTTTCAAATCAAATGAGGCGTCGAATGCACATTTTCAGGTTAACACAGACTGCATGAATAGCAGGGACCAATGTACATTTTCTTCTCTTGAAATGATAAGCACACACAAATACCTACGCTTGTCAAAGAAATTCTCGCTTGAGTGTCCTTTTAGCAACAACCTCCCCTAGAGCTTGATTTATTCACCTATCATTAAGCACTCGAAATCTGCTGCAGCCTCAACTTTGTACTTGATCACCTTTGAGGCCTAACTGAATAAGATCGTAAGGGCTTTTTTGGTCTGCATTACCAGACAGCTGGTAATGCACTCACCTATCCGTAAATTGTCGCTGTTAAGAATCTGAGAAAGTGACAAGCTGCAGTTTCAAAAAGTATTGTTTGTTTCAATGAGAATGAATCGTAAAGCATAGTGGTCATGGCCTATGCCAAAAAAGTTTCACGTAAAAACCGTATAAGCTCACTGTTTTGAAAAAAGTCAATTCCGATCAAGCCAATGAGTATTTTTTTCGCAGAGCAAGGCAAAATGTTGAAAGGGGGTATTGACACATATGCGCACAAATTTTCGACAAAAGCGTTGCTATGCAAAGCAGTTCAGTCTTTTCGCATCGCCTTAATGGTGAAGTTGTTTGGGGGGAAGGGGTGGGGAGGAAAAGAAAAATGTGTACTTTCCAGAAGATAGATTCAGATAAAGTTTCGAAAGAAGGTGACTACAAAAATGTAGTTTCCAATCATATAATTCGATTAATGCAGTTATCTCTGCACCTTTGTTTGAGAAAAACAATGCTTGTGCCAAAACATGACGAGAGCAAAGCAAGTGCTGCAGATTCCAATTCCATAATTCACTTTTAGGAAACTCATTTTTGTACAAGGAAAGCAACTTGTAGGAGCTGTGTTAGCGCTTGCAATGAAATGTAACACAGTTTGAATACTGTTTTTTCTTCACTCATTGGAAAACTGTCAATGTACACGTTTCATTACACGTGTCATAACGATTGATTGCATAATTTTGGACATCATATGCGATAAGTCAGCATGTTTTCCATAGGTTTTCTCCTTATATGAAGCACGACTGAGCATCTTGACATTTATGACCATTACTTTCGAAATAGACAGCGTAAACAATTAAAAAAGATGGTCAAGCGAAGTTACGACATTGGCGATTGATCGTTTTAAATGCACAGGTTTGATGCATTCAGATACATTACGCCCTTTTGTGACATCAGCGTCTTCGTCCTGCATGCAAGGTTGTTCAAATATTATCTGCACAGTTTGCGTTGTACATGGCTAAAGTACAAACGCTAATAAAGATCAAATTTTCAAATTGCATTTTGCAGGGCACTGATTCAAGAGCATCGCTTCATCGAACGCTCATATAAGCTTTATGGCGGAAAATTTCTTATCTGGGTGTTGAGTACTTCCTAGCTTTGCTAGTGGAAACGTGGTTGAAGAAGTACCCACTCCTTGAGCTCATTATGGTTCAGCTCCTCAAACTCATCATGACCAAAAGCTCACCTTGCTCCCACCATGCTTCGAAAATAAAATAGCTCTCCACTATTTTCGATTTCAAGAATAGGTTGTTAAACAGGTTTTGCAACTGTTTCCATGGTTTTTCGCCTTTCAGTACTGACGCGCTCGTTTTGACATTCTGTAGATTATAATATGATCAACAAACTGACGATGACTGTCTTTTAGTAAGAAATTTGAAAAACAAAGCGTTTTTGAAAACTTTGAAGGAAGAAAACCAATGAGTAACGAGCTTGAAAGCAAAAAATAAAGCTCGCAACTTGCACACAACTACCCGTAAACATAATTTGTTGCTAGAGGTCTATTTATTTACTTCAGTGAAAAAACGAAGCCCGAGACCTGGCGTCCTCACAAGAATGGGT